TTTTCCCTTCTGCCGGTTTGCTCCACAAATAAAGGAATAGGAAGCAAACATAGCACAACATGCTGAAGGTCGCGGTAAGCGGTGAGTAAGCAACGCGGGTGAAAACACTTGTTCAGCGCGTTTTTCTAATTTCTTAGTTTGCCGGCTCGGACCCTTTGAGTTTCGCAAGCTTCCATTTGCGATTAAAGTTACCTAACGACTTGTGGCCGTTAGCCCTTCACATTTTTTTTTTTGTTTTTGCTCGCCTTTGTTGTTGGTACGCGCAAATACCGTTAAATTAACATAATAAGTTTAAGGGCAGTAATGGAGAAAGTAAAGAAAACGTGAAAGAAGTCTTCCCTTCCCTGGTGTAAGTGAAAGGATTAGACAACGGTGAGTTGGTGCAGACGTTATAGCGGAACTTCACATCGGTTTGAGTTTTGTTGAGGGTAAGCGATGAAGCATTCAAATCTTACTCGCTTCGTCGGTTTGCGCGAATGGAAGAAAGAATGAAATGTTTACTTGTTTCATATAATCTTTGTTCTTGCAAAATTTGTACCACATTTCCTCGGTTGGAGTGCAAAGGATCCTGGCGATATACATACATCATATGTCACTTTCTGCAAGGCAACTCTCACTTCGGCGCCATAATTTATATTGCGGATTCACTTAGCTGTTGGGCCATTTGACCGTTCGGTTTGGGAGATGTAAAAGCCATTTAGACGACCAAAACGATGAAAACTTCGTGACTTGGAGAAAAATGTAAACTAAACTCCGTTATCAGAGAAAAACAAGTATCTGTCTCTCATTCAACAAATCTCTATGCTAAGGTGCCTTCAGTAAGCGAATATGAAATGACTGCGATCACAGTTATTCCCATGTTCACTGAAAAACTGTATTATGCAATCACAATGAGCATAATGTTACTCTAGAATATTGCTTTTGAATTTTTCAAAAACCTTCGTAAATTTTCTAAATATATATTAATTTTCGATTTAGTCATAGGAGAACCACTGTGCCAGGTAATAAGCGCTGTGTTTAAGTCCTCATTTCTGTCGCATGAATCCATTTTCACGAATTACTTGACAGTTTTTCCGTTTATTTTAGCGTGAATGTAACGAATTAAGAGCAGAAGTTAGTAGATGACACAAAGCGAACGAAAAATGTGACATTTTCGCGTTTATTTATTTATTTTTTTTTACGTTTTCTTGCCTTGTTGGCATTGTCACCAGGCGCACATATGGGTCGGGTCAGTCCGCCAGGGATCACTTAAAATGTATCCTTTTCTGCATGTTTTCGCTTTTTACTTTGACCTCAGTTGCCGCCCAATCGCGAGGAAATTAAGCTCATTAGCGACCGCTTGTTGACGACATTGAGGTTGCAGGGAGAAGCGATTCAATTCAAAGCATCAGGAAATGTTTGTTGTGATATTTCATTAACGTCTTCTTAAATAGAGTTTCATTAATTTGCTTTCTGTTGCTTATTTCGACATTTAAATGTCGCTGGTGTTAATATGTTATACATATATTCTCATGAAGCAAATTTCCACTTACCGGTGAATAGTATATATATAATTCCATATATATATATATATATATATATATATGTATATGTATTTTGCAAATATACACGCAGAGCAGACTCTTCTAATTCTTAGTGCCTCAGTGAACGGGCTGGGTGGTAATATGTTTGTCACACTGTCTATACCTCTCATATCTGCATTTAAAGTCGACATGTTCATATGTATGTATTATATTTTCCAAAAAAGTACGCAACTTTTGCGCACGTAATTAAAATTGAATGCCACCAAAACAATAAAAGCGAACAAATTCGCCGTTCACTAAATGCTATCAAACTAAAGTCATTAAATAAATCTTAACAATGTGAGAATGGCGCACACTCACAGCCGCAGACAGAAAGCACAAAATTAATATGGCGCAGGGGCGGAGGCAGACGCTCAGGCTTGAAAGCGAAATGCAATTTTCATAACTTTTCTTCACATTCGGCTGTGTGAGCATATACATACAGACACATACACACTCACATGCTAAACTTGGGCACTGGCTTATTGTGTGCCCTTGGCATAGAGTACACTGTTAAAAAAATTTATATTAATATTTGGAAGTTCTCATATAAAGAGATTAAAACGAAAAAAAGAACATACAATTTTGCTTTATGCTAAGGCTGCTCTGAACTTTTCTTTATGCGGTTGTCCTCTAATGATGTTAACATTTGATCAAATTTGACCCGGACCAACAGGTTTAGCTTTTAAATATTTTAATGAAAACATTTACAATCGCCTTCAAAATAAGCTCCTAAGCTAATACACTTAATCCAAATTTCCATACAATTTAACATCTGATCAAAATTGACCCGGACTGACCAAAAATTATTTTTAAATAATTTAATAAAAAAAATTTGCTATTGCCTCCAGAAGAATCTCCAGCTAATTTGAGAAGAAAAGTGTTCAATACATTTTCTATAACCCTCGGCCAAGATGACTTCCAAGGCCTTCAAGAAGTTATTTTTAATGACATCAATGAAGACTTGGCGTTGTTTTCTGAGCGGTGACTGAGCGATGACTCCCGTTTTCTGACAGATCAAAAAGTCAGTGACAGAATGTGATGGCGCTTTGTTGGGGTAAAAATTCTTGAATAGTACTTTTTTTTTGATCGATTGACTGATTGCACTTACTTTTGCTCATCCGGCTCGCTTGTGATGCCAGTAGGTTGTGACCTGTCATTAGGCCAGGTCCCGATCGAGGCCGTGTGAGTAAAACACATGTGCGTTTTTCTTCGGAGCTGTGTTACATGATCTAGATGATTTTGCATGTAATTAAGGCATTCCAGCTCGCCCTGAGTCGTCTGTCAGCTCTTTCGGAAATTTCATTGAATATCGTTTTTAGAGACTTCCGTAATTCCTGTACTGATCGTTGATAGCCATACCAGCCACTACTAACCTCTAAGGCTGCCACCTAGAAGATACTGCGTTTTCAGCTATGAGCAATAGATTCACGGCTACCACTCCCTTAGTTATTTCAGGTGCTCTCCTTACTTTAAAGACTTACGCCTGGAACATACTACAGTATTCGGGAAGCTTGAAGGGTCACCAGAGATCCAGCTTAGAGCAATAGAGTCCGGATCCCACTCCATTAACCACTTTAGAATCGTCTCTTGGGAGTTATGTTGGTAACACGCATACTTCCGCGGCAGAGAAAATAATGCCCAATTTTTCTCACTGTACCGAACTTTCAGTTTTGCCCAAAAATCAATGAAAATGAATACCAAATATTTTGAGAGAAAATACAATTTTCGTGTTATTGTTTTTGTTGCTCTGCATCTAATGTATGTGGCATGCTTTGCCGCCAGCATTTATCATAATTTAAACTTTCTGTTATTCTCCGAAATGTATTTGTTTAGTGCTGTACCATTGTTGGCAGCGCCATTGTTCTGCGCGGCTTTTGTGGCACACACTGATTGCAACAAAAAACCTATTTTCAAAGGTTAAAAGCAAAAAGCCACAAACAAACACTCTACTCAATAACAGGACTAACAAAGTACTAAAAAAACACTGAAAAGGGAAGAAATTTAAACAGAAAGTTACCTTTGCTCGACAAGCCTTTGACGCAGTTACTCGCTGCCGAGCCGCAACCGAATGTGTCGCAAAAGTTTTTAAAGCAACTTTATCATGTTAAACATTAAAAATCAACGCAGCAGTAGGTGAGGGAGTAACAAATTTGAATCGGGTTGTAAGCTCGCTTGATTTGGGAAAAGACGCTGCCTGCGTTGTCGTCGCTTTGCTGTGTGTGTTTGCGGCGCGCGCTGACGCCGCCCCAATTGAGCCGTTAAGTCAGTTGCGAGTTCTTTTCTGGCGTTATTTGTTTGGTGGCACTGTTTTGACACTTGAAGGGTTGCGCTGACTTGTTGTTTGTACGCTGTTGTTTGTTCAGTCGCCGTTCGTACGGTTGTCACTTCGCCGGTACGACGGCACCCGGCGTCCTTGCCTACAATTGGCATCGGTAGCCCGGTTGCCCTTCTGCACTGACAGTAGCCATAATTATTGTCACCATTGTTGTTGTAGTGGCAGTGTTGCGTCATTTTGCGCCAGCGAAGCGAATATCATTGCGACCAAACAGTCGAAAACTTCCGAAAGAGTTGGCGAAGACTGCGCACGTCAATGCGTCGTACTTAAAGACTTTACTTGGTTTCCGTTTTGTGTTGTAGTTGTTGTCATTTGTTTGCTTACTGCTTTGTTAACAGCGTTGACACTTAAGCCGGCGAATGGCCGGAGGGTTGGGGCGTGGCTTCGCGCATATTTTCCCTTGAAAGTTTAAATGTATTTATAACATTTTAATTGTATTTAATGTTTGTTCACAACTTTGTTCTCCGATCCGGGGCTTTTATGGGCTTCAAGGGCTAAGGCCGCGTCACTGGATGATGTGTAAGCGTTGAAGAGTGGCTTTTAAATTAGATAGCAACTGATTTGTAGGCACTTTCTTTTGTTTTGCTTCGCTGACCTTCGCCTGTCGAGTTTTTCATATTTGTGTTGTCTTTTCTTGCTGTTTTGGAAATATTTTTGGTGACCCCAATACCGTTCGGGTAATTGATGTTGCTTTGTTAGCGCTGGTAAGTAAATGTTTGCGAAGAGTTCCAAAGACTTGCTGCCGCCTAGCGTTTGGCTAATGCGTGGAAATCTCCAACCAACACGCTAGCGAGTAACAAATATCTGAAAAAAATAGACGACTAGTTAGAACCATATTTGTGAAGCATAACAATTTACTTATTTTCTGCTTTCTCTTTAAATATTGATGATTTTGGTGGCAGCTAAGGGCAGCCAAATCTCTTAGTAATAATTTTTGGCAATTAAAAGCCGAAGAGTTCACTTTTCAAGTAGATTTTATCAGGGCAACATTTTTTCAAGGAAACATTTTTTAAATTACTCGTCAAATAATATTTCATTCAAATAACACATTTTTCTGAAATTGTATCTGATCAAAATTATTACTTGCTTTTAATTTGCAGGTCTCCTGGATAAGAAAACGTGACCTACACATCTTAACAGCTGGCTCAACGACCTACACGTCAGATCAACGGTTTCAGGTAAGCCTTTTCAGATTGCTTAAATTATATAACAGTACTTATTCTTTAAACATCTATAAGCTTGAGTTTATTGGTCATTTTGTTGTTAATTATTTTTAAAAACTTCGCCTTAATTTGTACTAAAATTGTTTGTGCCTTTTGAGATAAAATTTAGTTTGGTAACAAAAAGATATTTTAGTTAGGATAATCCTCTAAAAATGTCGTACTATAATTTGAAATCGATATCTGAAATAGCTTTTGAGGCACAGCCGTTTCAGTTAGCTCCATCCGTTAATCTTTAAACGCCTTTTTGTCGGAACTGCATTCTTTCAATTTGTTTGAATGAAAACTCGAAGGCAAAATATTCGACCCCAAGCAATTGCATAAAAAACGAATTAAGGCAGGCAAAAAATTTTTAAATTTTCAACTCTTTTCCAAAACCGTCGTAATTTTGTCAACTTCTGACATGGTACAGAGTGGCGAATTGCCTTTGTTCGAGATGACAGTGGATTTGTATATGTGAAAGAAGAGCTCCCAAACTCAGCGAGCAAAAATAAAAGAGGGAATAATTGTAGGTCCACACATACGGCAATTCTTAAAGTTTAAACTTCTTCTTCTTGTTTATTGGCAGAGACACCGCTTAGGTGGTTGTAGCCAAGTTTATAACAGCGCGTCAGTCGTGTGAATGCTGGTTGCGAGATAGTCAAAATTATCTACGACTTCGACGTTATGACTGCCAGCAGTGACGTGGAATCGTGGAATGATGACAGATGATATTTCGGTAGAGGATAAGCGCTTTGTAGGAAAATTCGCCTAGATATAAAAAGATGAAATATTTTCTTAAAAGTACATATGCTGGACTTTCATCTTTATTTTCTCGGCAAATTTGGTTGCTGTGGGAGACGAACGTGGCAAGAAGTTCCGTCAGAATATTTCTTTTATGGAAATGCGTAATCAAGAGAAATCGAGCATAGAAATGTTAGCAGATTGTTTTTAGAGACTTAAAGAGTTCCTTTCGGATCCCAAATGTTCTGAAAACCATAAGAATGTTTTATTACAAATTTTTTCATATAATTGCTATTATTTAATGATAATAGAATATTCAAAATTTAATTAATGTTTTCGCGTGACCAAAAAAAAAAACTAAAATTTATTAACTAGTAGTTTTTACCGTGGGTCATTTTAACATTTCTAGGGTGGTTTCATCCACCGTGAAGACAGGAATCTCTGCCGCATTAGAAAAGATCGGTAGTAGCTTGAAAAATATGAAATTTTTTCTTCAAAACTCTTATTGTGCACTTTCAAAATATGTATAAATTTAGCTTTAAAATTTGTAAACAGCAAAGGAGCTCTTTCTAGATTGTTACACTAGGTGTGTCCCGTGTGTCCCTTTAACTCGAGTTAGCAATTACTAATTTACAGCTTGGCTACAAAACAAAGTGTAATTTATCGAAATCATTTTTCGTTTTAGGTTATACGACCTGAGAATTCGGGCAACTGGACACTACAAATCAAATATCCGCAGCAGCGTGACTCTGGCATCTACGAATGCCAGATCAACACGGAGCCGAAAATGTCGCTCTCATACACGTTCAATGTGATTGGTGAGTAATCGGAAAGAGATACTTGGTTTAGTTATAATAATAATAATACCCAACGATTACCCTCCTCCCGCCTAACCGACGCGAGGCGCGCAATACGCGAACGACAAAAAGCAGAAAGAAATTCATAGCATTTTATGCCACATCCTTTTGATTTTCCCCAGAAAGTTTACCATACTAATGTATATATTTTTCAAACCATCACAAAGAACAGATTTCGAAAATTATAAAACCTTTTTTAAAAATCGATATGAAATTTTGACTTGAGATTCTTTGGTTGCAAGGTGGAGTGTTTTCCCGATATTACTATAAGAAAAAATAGTAAGACTTTCTTAAGAATTGTAAAATTATTCGTCCCAATAGAAACAGCTGTTAAAGTCAGTTTGCGGAAGAGCTTTCAATGCGCGATTCAAATAGAATCACACGGTGGTTGCGGGAAAACACTTGGCGTAAAATTTGACGAAAAACTCACGAAGAATCAATGCAGTAATCGACAGAGCATTAGCGTGGTGCAAAAACCAAGAGTTGTCGACCCATAATTTCGGCCCCCTTTCACGAATATCTTCGCTCAAATGACTCATACACTCAAATTCTGTCAATTCTTTTTTGACAGTTTGTCTGATCGGAAGGAGTTCGGAGTGCACCACACCTCGATAATCGAATAAACTGAAAACATAACCTTGATTTTTGACTTGCTTTGACGTTGTTTTTTCGGCTTCGGCTCACCCTTGCCATGATATTCGGCCTTTTGAATATGTTTCATGACATCGTGACAGTCGGAACGCTTTGTTTCACAGACACTAATGCGACGCTCTTTTTCGAAAAATTGAGTGATTCTGATCTGCAATCAATCGTAATCAAATTATCTATCAAAATGGATTTCATTGATCCTTCAGATATCTCAACGATGGCAGTAAGATTCGTCGATTGTTTAGCTACAATTTCATTGTTCTATTCAGTCGATGTTGCTGGCCGTTCTGGACGTGGTTCGACGTCAACGCGTTTTCAACCCCCAATTGCTTGCGACAACATTCTAAACATTTCGGCATTAAAAATTCATAATTTTACGGAACTTCTTTATTTAATAATTTCATTTATGGTAAAAATCGCCGAAGGCACTATATGTACTTCAGAAACACAAGTTTAACTAAATATTAGTGATTAATTTGATGCGACATTTGGCACCAATATCACTGACAGCCAAAGCAACCTAGAAAAAGAATATTTCGTAAAATGAGATTTCGCGCGAAATTTAAAATAAAAAGTCTTACTATTTTTTGCCCATATCTTTTACATGCATTGCTGTTTCTTATTCAAAGTTGCATTTATGTGCAAGCAGATCACTACATACTGCCACACATTTGGTCTTCAATTTGCTTAAGTAGCAAGTTAGTCTCACATTGCTCGTCAAAGGGCAGCAGATATGAAAGAGAGATGACTGATACAAAAATATTGGAGATTTGATATTGAAAACTCTACAAATTTAAGCCAAAATAAAAAGAAATAATAAAGCGTCGATGCAATTTTGCTAATGCAAAATAATGTCAACCGAAGTAAATATTATATACACATTCTCAAGCGTGCAGCTCTGGCAGTATGCTTTCCACTGGCTATAAACATACACACACGTGCTTCCGAGTTTTGCATTGAGGAATTACATTGGATTTATTGTTACCAAAAAATAAATGAAATAATTAAAAATAATTCTATCAAAGTGTGTACAATGGAATTTAATTCCATTTTTAAGCCGATTACGATTTTAGATATTTTCTTTCACATCACACCTTTGCTGAAACCGGCTGCTGTTGCCGTCGTGGTTCAATGTAAGTCATCTGCGTGTTCAATTATGTAAATTACAAATGCAATTGCAGGACATGAATTTCAAATTTAACAATGAAATTCGCCTCTTTGGCTTTTGAGCTTATCTCCTTGCTGTAGTTTATTGAAAGCAAGCCTAAATCGCTTGTTCATCATACGCCCCGTTGACCCGATTCCAGTAGCTCAGACCAAACAACAATCTACCAAATCTGCACAATCATCATTGGCTTTGCGGCGGCTATTTTCATTTATTTTACCTTATTTCAATGCGCAACCTTAGTAGTGCTTTCATCGGAGCGCCTGTGTTTGCTCAGCAGAGCTCTAAAGTAAATATATGCGCACGCACACAATCGTTGGTAATATAATCTCCAGAATATTAATGTGATGTAATCCGCATGAGTGAGCGTAAGACGGTAATAAAAGTTAGAGTACTAACACAATTTGTGTGCACATGCAGGTAAATTCTCACAGATAATATTTCATAATATGATCTCACGCTGCTTTTATTAGCCTCCTTCTGCTTGTTCTACAGTCGAAAAGTTTAATACTGGATCAATATTAAATTTTCAGAGGGATTTCGTTTACAATCAGTTACAGTTAGAGAAAACTGTAAATTCTTTTGCAAACACTTGAGTAATTAAATTTATTTCGTGATGTTGAAAAATCAAGTTCACAATTATATGAAGCTAAACTTGCACATTCTATATTCGCATATTTTGAAATACGCGTCTTCACATAATGTCAAATCTTATTTATTTTCGATCTATTGTCTCTTGGATGTATTTGATTTCCTTGTACAAGGTTTAGGTTGAACTTTAATGAGCCAAATATGTACCACTTTTGTCTACCACCTTTAAGCATTTTTCCGCTCGCGAAGTTATTCCATCAGTGTAAAACTTTTCTGGTTTCTCGGCGAAAAACTGCGACAACTGTCCTATTGGAACACTTGTGGTACCCAAACATCGAACTTCTTTTTGTAGCCAGCCTTTTTTAAATGGTTCAAATCCATTTGATGATGATGTTAAGTTCCTTAGCGATGTCATGGCTTCTTATATAATGGCCCTGGTCAATATTTTTCTTTAATTTCATCACCTTTTTCAATGATAGGTCGACCAGAGTGAGGTGCATCTTTCACAACGAAAGCCAGCGAACCATTTTTCTCTTTTTTACACAAACATTTCAAAGAATAGCGATTATTTTCATTATTTTCATTCATTCACAGGCACAATGTGATTGGCAGCATAGGAGATATACGACTGCAACGACATTGATTGATAAAATACGAAAATACTTTTTCGACTACCCAATACATACTTGAATGCATATACCTAAATCTTTCCGTAAATTTTATATGCGAACACAATGGAAAGTTGAAATTTTTTTAAATTTAAAAACTGAATTATGACAAGGTGATAAAAGGTGCTTAAAATCTTTTATATCTTTAGTTATACCTTTTATAAAAAATAATAAATTTTTTACAGTAAACACAGAATTTCCTATCTTCACACAAGGAGATAAAAACATGAACATATTTCTACATTTTAAATGTATTTGTGTAATTCTTATATGTATATGTCATTGCATTGATTTCTTCGCACCAAAATAGACAAAATGTTGTGGCACATCCCTCTACATCTATATTGATTTCTTCGCTTGCCAAAAAGCAAATATTTGCCAAGGAAACATATTTCCTTAGATTCCCAACTCTTACATTGCTAAACATTAGTAAGTAAATATTTTTACGCAAAACTCATAGGTAAATATGTGCTTACGAAGTGTAAGCCAAATGCCGTTTGCTGCCGAGTTGCGTTGTTACACAAGATAACAGAAAAGTACTGTTAAAATTAATTTTAGCAATATTTTTATTTTCTGCAGTCATCTGCAGATGTGTGGGTTTGTGCCTTTAATGCAGATTGCAATTAAAATTCACTCTCAAATTTATAGTGAAATAATTAAGCGAGGCAGCAATGCTAGCCTGGCATAGAGAACAGATATTTGAATTTCATTTAAAATCTGCGAACTCGATGCTTTCCTGCCACAGCATGAAGGAAAACGCGTGTTGTTGTATACTATATGTGTGCATCTTAGCCTTTGAGTGCACACGTAATTCATGCTTGTCTGAATTGATCAGATGGAGTGGTTGCCTCTTCATTAACATTGATTATGTAATAGTGTATAGTGGCTATTTATTTATGTGCATGTATATCAATGTAATTAAGCCTCCACTATATTATTTCATTACTTAAAATTTTAGTGAAGTACTCTTTCAAATTATTATTTTTCAATTATTAACATTATTATTATATAGAGTTTGAATGACGAGAAAAGCGAATTTTTCAGAATTTCTTCTGAGAAAAATTTTAAATTTACCAAAGTCAAAATTTGTGGTATCTTTTAACTGTATTCTAATACTTAGTATTGGTAAGATTAGTAAAAATATTTAGTGGAAAAGAACTACAGCTGATTTCCGGGAGCTTTTCTCAAAAGCGATGTTTCGTGGCGACCACTATATCTCTGAACTGAATCCTCTGCAATTAAAAAACCAAATAGATTTCGTTAAAGTAATGTTCAATCTACTAAGGCAAATCTATGAAATAAGTAAAATATTTTGACAAAAAGCTGGTTTCTCAGAAAAAAAAAAATCGATTTTTGACCAAAATTTCGGCCTTAAATTGTATTCAACGGAACGATATGAAATGTCCGGCGTGTATTATTAAATATATGTATATTGCGAATATAAAATAAAAAATATTTTAAAACTCTAACTGTATAACCTTTTAGTTCCGCCTTTTTATAACTTGTCCTAAATCATAATTGATTTCATTGCAAAAGCAAGAAATAAATATGAGTTTCAGCTTATTGGAAAAATGTGATAAATATTAAAATTGAAAAATATGAAATGAAAGTTTCGATATGAAGCGACAGTGTCACGTTGAGATTCAGATTTATTATCTTATATTTTCTATACAATTTCACAAACCCATAATCACAAACTGAAACTGCATTAAAGATACCAGATGCCTTAAAAGTGGCACTGCAGGGAAAATATATTTATTATATATATTGTACTAGCAGTTCATTATCAGGAGACCTCACAAGGGCGATGATATGTGAACAAAAACTTTCTGTATTATTATTTATATTTAATCACGCACCCCTTATTTCACAACATGGACTCCCCTCTG